GCTTTTTGCTTATGTGGTGCTGAGGAATCGAACCCAGGGCCTCAGGCATGCAAGGCAAGCGCTCTACCACTGAGCCACCTTCCCAGCCCCTAGCTTGGGATTTTTAAGGGACTCAACAGGTGGTCAAAGTAGTTTGAAGGACTTGTGGGAATCCTCTCGATGTCAGCCTGTCGTCAGCTCACATCGGACGGCTTCCATGGCCCTGCATGGCCTCGTGACCCCTCCCCCCCACCTCCCCTCCCGCTCAGCCTTCCTGCAGGAGGAGGTGCGCAGGGCTGGTGTGGCGCTGCCCCAGGCGGAGGGCCGGCTGCCCGCACCCTCGCCCCCAGACCTGCTGCGCATCCAGGAGGAGACAGAGCGCCTGGCCCAGGAGCTGCGGGACGTGCGGGGCAACCAGCAGGCGCTGCGAGTCCAGCTGCACCAGCTGCAGCTCCACACCGCCGTGCTGAGCCAGAGCCACAGCCCCGTGGTCAGCTCCAGCCTGGGCCAGCATGGGGGGGGGGGCTGGCACGGGTCTAACGGGGCTGGGGCTCACCACGCGTGTCTCCCATCCCAGCCAGCAGCTGCTCACACCGATGGGCCCTCCTCGGAGAAGACCCCCCTGCTCCTGTCCGCCGCGGGGCCACACCAGGACCTGAGGGTCAAGTGAGTGAGGCCCCAGGGCTAGCCAGCCCTGCTCCGACACCCTGCCTCCCTCACCTATGACCCCGCCCTCTGCTTCCTCCCTGAGGCCCAGAACATTCTTTAGTCCCAGGCCACCCTTCCTGTGCCTTTGGAGCTTTCTTCCAGTGGCCTGGCTGGGCAAGGCAGGTGGGTGGATGGGGCTCCCTCCTCCAGCCTCTCGTGGCAGCTTTGTGGCAGGTGCTGTGGCGCCCCACAAGGCCGCCGCCCTGGAGCGCCTGCTCTGGAGAGCCTGCCGCGGCTTCCTCATCGCCAGCTTCCAGGAGACTGAGCAGCCGCTGGAGGACCCCGTGACGGTGAGCTGGCGCGGGCTGGGCTGCGGCTGTCCTGGGTGGAGCCAGGACTAGGGTAGACTGAGCCTGGCTCCTCCGGCAGGGTGAGCCTGCGACATGGATGACCTTCGTCATCTCCTACTGGGGCGAGCAGATTGGGCAGAAGATCCGCAAGATCACAGACTGGTGAGCCACGCATGTGCACCAGCGCCATCAGGCCGCCACAGAGGTTCAGAGCCCTCCATGTGTGTGTGTGTGCGCGCGCGCGCGTGTGTGTGTGTGTGTGTGTGTTCATGCCAGTCCTGGGGTTTGAGGGTCTAGGCTTTTGGGTTCAAGGCTGATACTCTCCCACTTGAGCCACAGCTCTACTTCTGGCTTTTTTGGTGGTTAATTTGGAGATGAGTCTCATGGATTGTTCTGCCTGGGCTGGCTTTGAACTACAGTCCTCATAGCTCGGCCTCCTGAGTAGCTGGGGTTACTGCCCAGCAGGCTATGGCTTCTTGCTGACCCATATGTGCCAGCCTCTGATGTCCACTCCCCCAGGGACGTCCTGCCTTAGCTCAGCCGGTGAGCTTCCAGACTCAACCCCCGCCCCCCGCCTCTCCTCACCCCTGCAGCTTCCACTGCCACGTCTTCCCATTCCTGGAGCAGGAGGAGGCCCGGCGTGGCGCTCTGCAGCAGCTGCGACAGCAGAGCCAGGAGCTGCAGGAGGTGGGCGCCCACTGGAAGGGACCCCGCCCCCCCCCCGCCATCCCTGCTGACCACTCGCTCTGTCCCAGGTCCTGGGGGAGACCGAGCGGTTCCTGAGCCAGGTGCTGGGCCGTGTACAGCAGCTGCTGCCACCCTGGCAGGTGCAAATCCACAAGATGAAGGCCGTGTACCTGGTGCTGAACCAGTGCAGCGTGAGCACCACGCACAAGTGCCTCATCGCCGAGGTGTGGTGTGCCACGCGGGACCTGCCTGCCCTGCAGCAGGCGCTGCAGGAGAGCTCCGTGAGTGTGTCTTGCTCACACAGACCCACCCCCTCCCTCCTCTCCTCTCCTCCAGGCAATAAATTCAGGGTTCCTCTGTCCAACCTCGCCTCTTGAGGGATGGCACCCAATCTCCCCCAAGGACTCCTCCAAGGATTCCTCCAGATGGCTCCTGCCCACGGTCCTCCCTCCTGCCCACGGTCCTCCCTCCTGCCTATGGTCCTCCCTCCTGCCCACAGTCCTCCCTCCTGCCCACAGTCCTCCCTCCTGCCCACGGTCCTCCCTCCTGCCCACAGTCCTCCCTCCTGCCCACGGTCCTCCCTCCTGCCCACGGTCCTCCCTCCTGCCCACGGTCCTCCCTCCTGACTCCCCAGAGCCCCTGCAGGCTTCGCAGGGAGACCAGTCAGAAACCTAGGTCAGACAGGCCACCTGCGGCTCACGCCTGTAGTCCTAGCTACCCAGAAGCCTGGATCTGAGGATCAAGATTTGAAGTCAGCCTAGGCAGGGGATTCCATGAGACTCCCATCTCCAAATATCCAGCAAAAAGCCAGACATGGAGCTGTGGCTCAAGTGGTAGAGCACCAGCCTTGAGCAAAAAAGCTAAAGGACAGGGTCCAGACCCTAGGCTCAAGCCCCAATACCAGCACACGCACAAAAAAAAGGAAGGAAGGAAGGAAGCTAGCAAGCTAGGTCAAACCCAGGCTCTCCAAGGCTCTGGCCATGCGATCTGCCCTTCCAGGAGCCCCAGGACGCCTGGCAGAGGTGGCTCTTCCTGGGGAGCGGGCGTTAGAGGGAGGGGTGCTATAGCACACACCACTGGGCTGGTGCTTAAGGGGGGGGCTAGGCTCCCCCTCCAGGCCCTGATAGACGGACACATTTCTTTTTTTGAAGCCACGTCCAGTCTGGGTAAAATCTGGCCTGTCTCCGTGTCCTTGACTTTCTTAGGAAAAGAGCTGCCCGGACCCCTACCCCACTTCCTGTTCCTGCCCCTTACCCCCCCACTCCCGTGAGCCCCTGCGCCAAGCGGTCCACCTCTCAGGTCTTGGGGCCCTTGAGGACCCCAACATCAGCCTCTGTCTTTCTGCCTGGTACCCCAGAGCGAGGAAGGAGTGAGCGCCGTAGCTCACCGTATCCCCTGCCGGGAGCTGCCCCCGACCCTCATCCGCACCAACCGCTTCACCGCCAGCTTCCAGGGCATCGTGGACGCCTACGGTGTGGGCCGCTACCAGGAGGTCAACCCCGGTGAGAGCCAGCGCGGGCTCACCCCAGGCCAGCCCTGCCATCTGTGTCAGGGACCCGGGCAGGCTCCGAGGCCCATGGGTACAAGCCTGGGAGGGGCAAGAGGTCTCCCACCCTGGCGTGTCCCATACCTCTGAGATCAGAAGCAGGCTTCCTGTCACGCTCTGGCTGGGCCTGGATTGGTCTTGTTAAGTCACAGTGGCGCCAGCAGAGCTGGTGCAGGGAATGGCTGCCGCAGCAGGAGCGGCCGGGTTTGATGAGTTTCAGATTTCTGGAGCTCTGTTTCTGCGTCTGGAAGGTGGGAGCAAGGACATCTCAGGGGAGTGTTGAGGTTGACGACGTTAGAGCCTACGCACCGGCCTCCACCAGCTGCTGCTCTGGCTTGTTAAGCTACAAATTATAATTTTTTAAATCTTTTTTGGGGGGGTCCGGTTGTGGGGCCTGAACTCTGGGTCTGGGCGCTGTCCCTCAGCTCTTCAGCTCAAGGCTAGCGCTCTACCACCTGAGCCACAGCGCCACTTCCGG